AAAAATTAGAGATATATATATTTAAAGTTTATTATTATGATAAACGAAAAATTGATGATTTTACATTTAGAAAAATTATGTTTAAATAACCTTTGTTATAAATCCATCAATATCTGAAATTGTATTTAATTTTATATTTACTTTAAATCCCCAAAATCATGTCAATATAAATGCTGAAACTCTTCAAGAATTATATTTTCTATCATTTTCCTGTTATCATATTAAGAAAATAATCTACAAATAAATAAGCAAATGTCAAAAAATAACTTATTTCATCATAATAAAAAATAGTCTAAATTATAATATAGAAATTTCTAACTATAGAGATTGATTCATCTTTATAATTATTAGGTATTTCATGTAACTTTTATTCTGATTCAATTGTTAATTAGTAAACATTAAGTAAAATATAGATTTGCGTTATTTCTTTTCAACCTTCCTTATAGGCTTATAAACCCAATAGGATATAAAGTTAAATAATAATGCAATATTTTTGTTTTAATGAGGACAAATAATTTATCATTAGGATATTAAAAGGTAATTTTAATTTTTATAAAAAATTCCAAAGTTTAAATAATTTAAATAAGAATAATTATTTATATTTTAAGATATCTTGAATTTTATTTTGCTCGTTTTCATAAAACAATTAAAAAAATTAATTTCTCAACAACATTTGTTTTTCGGAACTCTAAAACCTGTAAATTGAAATAAATTGTTAAAATTTAGTGGATATCTTTTTTTATTTTATGATATTAGGCATAGTTAAAACGTCGTCGATAATCAAACTTAGAACTTGATTTATCAAAAATTCAGATATTAAATAAAAAAAAAATTACTATTAAATCGTAATTTCAAAATTTTTAGGAAATTTTATTGAATTGACTACTATTTTTATTAGTAAGGTTTGAATTAAATTGTTAATTTAATTTTTTCAAAGATTATCTTAAAATGATGTTTGAGGTTGAATTGTAAATAAATAAATCTAAATCCTTACTATTGAAAAAGAAACTGAAATAATTCATTGCAAAAACAAATTATTTTGATTATTGATACTCAAATATTTTTTAAAGTTCATCTAATTATATAATTTTTCTTTTCTCAAAAAAAAACTTAAAATTTTTAAAAATAATAGTTTTTCATAGACACTACTTAAAAAAAAATATTGATTTAAATATCATTAATTCAATTATCAATAAAAGTGTATAATTATTAATCTAAATTATCAAAGAATCTTATTTTATGTTATTTAATCTTCTAGATTTTATAAAAAAAATAATATCTCATTTGATTATAGATATTAAAATATTCAATTAGGAATAAAAAATAGATTTGTAGGGATGTAAGTTTATGGGGACTTTAGAAATATCTAAGTTATTCAGTAAATTATTTAAAATAATATAAATTTTGATAATTTGTTTATGCTATATTTTTTAATTTTCTTAAGTGCAAGCATCAAAAATAAAAAAAAATAATAAAATGTCTTTATGCATAGTTAACTAAATATCAAAATACATTCCTAATTAAATTTTGTTACTTTATTTTCATCGTCTTTAATAGTTTTGAAACCATTTTTTAAATTTAGGATATATATTGTCTATTAATGTTAGAATCTTTAAAAATTCTAATTTTATTTCATTGTATTATTTTCAAATAAATAAAAATTTTAGCTCACTATTTTAGAAAGGATTAATTAACATTTATCTTAATTATATTCCATAAGGATATCAACTATTGTAATAAAGTTAATAATAATCAGTAGATATTTAGGCATTTGTAATTTTATTTTATATATATTATCAATTATATTAAATGTAAAATTATATATATTAAGTTTATTCATCAAATATATATTGAAAACAGCATTTCAAGGTGTCTCTGCTTTACAAGATGATAATTTAAGATGAATTTCTGATATTATTACTTTGTAATTATTCAATATATTCAGAATCTGACAAAATTTGTCAAAAAAATAACAACAAATAAATTTGGATATTAAAGTTAGATAATTAGAAAAAATGAGAATTTATTATTAATTTTGCTTCATTAATAAGAATCATGCTTTTTTTTTCATAAAATACATTCTTCATTAATTCTTTCCACTTCTATCAATTTTTTATAACTTTTCAAATGTGTAAAAAATAATTATTTTTGTTAAAAAATTTAATAAAATAAATATATAAATTATCAGTAATAAAACTTTATTCATAATAATATTAGTCCATTCTTATTATTGAAATACCATATTTATCGATTTGATTATCTTTTCTTGTATCAATTTCTTTTGAAGTGATGATATATATCAAAAATTATCAAAAATATCAAATGAGTTAAAAAAATTTTAATTTATATTTAATTTGATTTGGCCATTTCTGTAACCCACCATTTACTGATCTCATCCAAAAATCACAATATTTCTTGATCAAGTTATACATCTAATTATATAACCACATAAATGATGTTAAAATATTAATCCAAAAAATATTTTAAGATAATTTTGGGTTTTGGTTCATTTCTTGAGAAAATAAATATTAAAAATGAACTGGCTGGGAATAATTATTTTAGATTTTTTTTCTTTGGCTTTGGATTATATATCGCTTTGAACATATTGGAATTCTTAATGAAAATATTTATTTTTGGGATAGTTTTTGTATAATATTATATCACTATTAAATAAATTAAAAATTTTTATGTATTTCGATTTAAGATAAAGATAAAAATAAATGAACCAAAGATAAAATTTCAACAAAAATTTGAGTATATATTACTGCTGGTTTTATGAATGGCTTTGTTAAATTTCAATAATCAAATTTTGCTCAATTATTACTAAATTTCTGATAATTGATAGACACTTTAAGATTTTTTTAAATTTAATAAATTGCTAATAAATCGAATAATTATTAATCTTCAGTAACATAGAAAATTTATAATTTAAAACATTTTTAATATGCTAAAATGCTTATTACAAATAAATTGATTCTATGTAAAAAGTTAACTTCAATTAATGAATATAATTTATTGTCTTTTATATCAACTTTAGTAATTGCATTATTAAATAAAGCTTGCAAAATACAATTAGCAATTTAGTTTGCTTTGACTCATCTTACAATATCTACTAAAATTTTTAATTGTAATATTTCACATTTAATCTTTTATAAATAAATAAAAACTTGAATATATATATATTGAAATTTTTATTGATTTTTGCTAAGTTTTCTTTTTATTAAAATAATTAGAATTTCATTTATAAAATAATAATTTTCAAAAAAAAATAATCAGATTTAATATTTAGCAAATGCCCAAAGGAAAAAATGCTTAAAACTTGAAGCAATTAAAATTTTTTTTTAGTTTATTTAATAAAATTATGATTGAATTTTAGACTTTTTTAGTTTAGTAATCATTTTATTGATTTAGGATAGAATAATTTTTTAAATATATTGGAATATATAAGAAAATAAAAAATAGAAATTTAATTATATTTTAAGATTTGATTATTTATATTTTAAATATGAAGTTAAACTAGTTTAAATTTAGATAATTTTTATTTTGGCAATCTAATATCAAATTAATAATATAAAAAAGTATCAATTAGATTTATTTAATAAATAAGAATGAAGTTAAATTTAAAAAAGAAATTGAAAATAATATGAATCTAAATTATATTGCTAATTGCTTTTAGGGTTAATATTCTTTTATGATGATTAATTCAATTTATTTTTAATTCTCAAAAATTACATTGTTTTTTGTTGGTAAATAAGATGCAATCGAAAATAATTATGATAATATTCTTTTTAAATTTAATAAATATGAAAATTTTCTTCATAGAGGATTGAATTATAAATTATAAAAATAGCTAAATGAAAAGGTCAAATTTATAAAATTTAACTTAAAATAAATTTATTGATAAAATGTTATAATTATAAATAATTCTATCAACTAAATAATATCTAGAAAATTCTAGTTAATAGTATTATAATATTTAAGAACTCTTAAATTATTTTAAGTTGAATTCTGTCTTCTCTATAATTTTATAATAAATAAAGTGGATGCATAAAAAAATTATGAATCTTTTAGATTGAAAGGATCTACTCAACTAAATTATATATGAGTGATATACTTACTAATTTAGATTTAACTGGTTCACTTCTAATTTTAGTTAATATTGCAATATGATCTATTAGCAGAATTATTTTATTAAATACTCAGTAAGCCATTGAAGTCACAATAAATTTTGAGAATAGCTTCTCTTGGTTAATTTTTTTTTCTTACAACTTATCCGAAATAACTTCGAATTGAAAAATAATTTTTGAAAGTTGTCTGATACTTTTTATTCAGATGTCCTTAACTAATTAAGCATTATTTAGACAATTTTGGTCAGCTACAGTAAATTAAATTTATTTCAGTAAGATTGTATATTTTTTTAATAATAGTTTAAAATTTTAATCTTTCTACTTATTTAAATTTTATTTTTTAAATAAAAAAGTTCTGACACTTTGACCGCTGTCTGACCTTTTGAAAGAAGGGCCCATACTGCTGCATGTAATGAGGAAATACTCTTAGCTTTATTATTTAAAAATCATTATATAAATATCTGTCATTTATATTGACAACATTTAATTAAGTAAATTACATTAACAAATCTCGGGTTGCATAATTAATAAAGCGCTTTAAGAAAATTGAAAGATCATCAAATATTTTTTCAAATAATTCATGAAAAAGAGAGAAAGAATTAATTTTTTTTTGTTTCAAATTTCAAATTATGGATAATTATAAGTATATTAGTTTTATAATACTTAATTTTCAAATTCGATATTATATTTACTTAATGATTTAATAGAAGTTAAATGAATGACAATGTTTTAGCTGCTACTTTAATCAGTTATAAGTGTTGTACCTTTAAAAATATGTGTTTGTGATCATATAAAAATTAAAGACAAATGATATTAAGAGTAAAAAAGGATCATATTGTATATGTAAATAATTAGATTAATTGAAATGTTAGGATGTATAAAGATGTGAAGATTTACTAATTTATTTATCAGATCATAAATAATGCAAATAAGGTTTTTAAGGACGCACTGTAAATATAATTGCAAGGGTTGTATTAATCAGATGGATGAATGCACTGATTACATACAAGAAAGTTAATATTTTTTAAACTCTAAACAATAAATAGATATGCTTTAAGGAAATGGGAAGTGTTTAGAGAAAATATGAGATAACTTTGTTTTTAAGACTGATTAGGAATTTAGATCATAAATAAGTGAATATAATACAACAAATGGAATTAATTGTGTTATTAAAAATACTTACAATGATGCTTAAAGTAAAGCAGGATAAAAAACTGATAATCTAGGAAATAAATGTTAATATTACTAGAGAATGTACATTAAAAAGAAACAATAATTATATTTAGTGTAAAAAAGTACCTGCTCAATAACAGTTAGTTCTATTTTATAGATTCAATTAACATTATATTATTTGATTAAAATTAGTTGGCCATTTTGAACATCCTAATTATGCAGGGACCAACAAACACTTAAAATGATTTGCAATCATCATTTTATAAATATAAATTAGTGTCTACATCTGTAAAATCTTAATTAATACATCTTATATACTCCATCCAATTTATTTACTTAAATTATTGTATAACATCGATCTTGAAAAGAGAGTTCACTAATAATCTTTTACATAGATAATCTGCACAACCAACAGAATTCGCATTAAATGTGCAATATTAACTTGCATTTTAGCATATTTAATGATTTTTGTAGTAAACTAATTTAACTTATTACATTCTAGTAAAATAGAATTACCTTCAAGCCAAAAACATCTTTCCTTATTATAATGTAATTCACAAAACTATTCTTTCAATCTCTCTTCACATAATTAAAGGGTCTCTTAACATGCTCCAATTAATGACAATCTGTATGACTAAAATAAATTAGAGTATGATGACATTATCTTTATTCACATATATGTTAATATCAAGTCTAATTTTACATCCTCTATTTTGTAATATATACTTAATTATATATTATACATTGATAGATTATAGTTTACAATCATTTAAAAAAGACCTACATTCATACTTCTGAGTATAAGGAAGGTTTTCGCATATCTTTTCAACACATTTATTATTTGTTGAATCCCAAAAATAATTATTTATTTTTGATTGGCTTTCCAAACATTAACAATTATTAAGATATTATGAACATAATTCCATTTATTTAATACATCAGAAACCTGTTTCAGTTATTGGTTATTGTGCATCCAACAAGATTCTCTAGGCTCAAACTTTGTGACATTTGTACAATTTCTCAGTGTTGCAGTGATCCAAATACAATACTTCCCATTCTAATTTTTATTCGTACATCCAATCTTATCATTACATTTTAGTATTTTCCCAAATATACATTGATGAGATGATTCTGAATAATTATCTTTACCTAATATGCTGCAATCTGTAAAGTCAAAACATTATCCAAAACAAAAGCCAAATAATCTTCTTAAGAATAACTATTGCATGAATTTAAATTATTGGTTTCTGTATTGTATGATTGAGTAGAAATCAATAATCATTCCACTAAATGCAAATTCCATTCACTTTCACTTCGAGCGTGTTTATAAACATTTTTTTTGAACTTTATACTCATTTTACTAACAATGATTCCTTTTAACATTAATTCATTCATATCCTAAATGGAGTCTAAAATTTCAAAGAGATCTTCTTACCTTTCATTTGATTGTATTGTTGATTATGATTTAAATAATAAATGTTTTGATTAATGACTTAATTTTTTATTCCAATCTCGACTTAATCTTTTACAACTCCATATTATGAGCATTCTGCTTAGCATTCCAATCATTAAATTTTTTCCATTTAAAATCTAGAAGTAACATTTCAACTTACAATATTTAATAATTTTGAAGGTTAAAAAAACTTATATTAGCAAGATTTTATCCTGTTTCTATTATTATTGTATTGTAAGGATAAAAGAAAATTATTTTCGAAAAATATGAATTCTTCTATGTTGAAAAATAATTCATTGTAGCTTATTTAACTATTATTCAAATTTTGTTTTATGAGAGACTAAGATGAATAGAGAAATTGTAACCAATGAAACATTTGATTAAATTGTGACATATTTTTATAAAACCACACTTTAAATATATTTATCCAATATTATGGATGCAGAAGTTAAAACAGAGAAAAAAAGAACACGAAAAGATTGATAGCAACAGGATAAGAAATATATCAAACTATCAATATTTCGATTAGTGGAGATACTCAAATGTATTAAAGTAAGGAGCATAAAAACAGATGATTTGATAGAGAAAACGTGATGGAGTACTAAAAATTGGGAAATGAGAAGAATGGATTAGAACTTTGGATAAGAAAAATAATTGAGAGTTATCACTATCTAGATATCTTGATTTGGAAAGAGGTGCTCAACAAATATGAACTAAGATATGAGATTTGTCTCAAATAAGATTAGAGAGATGTTTAAGAGTCTAGTGTAATTTTTTCAAAAGAAGAAATAGAAGAGGTAGAAAGATGGGATGTAAGTAATAAAAAACTGATTTTTAGTTATTCATTAAATATTAAACATTAATGAGCATATGCAAAAATTATCATCTTAGTATAAACATATTTTTATTTATTTTCCTCTCTTAATTAACCTTTTAAATCAGCTTCTAATTTCATAATAATTATATACTGATTCTATCATTTATCATTATGAATCATTTACTTTATTTGCTCTTTTTATGGTATCTATTAATAATTAAAATTAAAAAAAAACATACCATTAGAGAATAATTTATATCCATCATCATTGATAGATTCTATTGATGATTGGTATACATATTAACAGATCAATAAATATATAATATAGATTCATAAAATTGGATCTGCAAAATAACATCTATTGCCTTAAATAATGTATTTACAATCTTCTACTTATCTATTTGATGAAAAAATTGAATTAATATTTTTTTTTTCCATTTTACTTCAAAACTAATATTTTAATGAGAATTAGCTAATTAATTTACTTCATTTATTTATTTCTTCACTTGCTGATACTTCCAATACTTGTCTATTAATGTACAATGAATAATTATTTGATTATTCCTCAATCAATGTATTTTTCACTAAATATTTTCAAATAATTTCATTTGTGAATTCAATAAACTATTATTAAGCAGATGTCTTTCCTAATTGCAATCATATTTCATTCAGTATTAGTATACATCATTTTACACTTATAGAAATTTCCAGATTAATCAATATAACTTGATGAATCAACTAAGTCATGCTAAATTAAAATGATAATTTAACATATTTAGTAAATGTTTATATTTTGAAAATATACAATTATCAATAATTTAAGGTATTAAACAGATTTTTCAAATAATACTTTTAT